CGAGGGCAAAAACGGCGTGCCGCAAGGATGCGGTGATTAGCCGGCGGCGCAGAGAGAAAACGGCGGCTGGGATTGCGGCCCGGGCTGTGCGCGGGTGTCGGGAGGCGCAGCGCGAGTGTGCCGCGGCCGGTCTGGCGCGGGCGGCGGGAGGAAGGCGGGGTCGCGTGCCTCGAGGGCCCTCAACATTGACGTTGATGCCTCCCTTGAGGAGCGATGCGACGGCGGACGCGTTGCCGTTGCGCGCTCCTTTGAAGAGCTCGCGGTACCTCTCCAGCTCCGGGCCGGCGAACTGGTCGCCCAGCTTCCCCGGCGCGGGCGAGACGCTCATTTCAACGATGGCACCGCGTTCACACACCGCGTTCACAGCCTTGTTATTGAGAAGAAAATACCTGCTATGGCGCTGTGCGCTGGCCTGTGAGAGGTTCACAGCCTTGAGCACTTGAGCACTGGATAGGGTCGATTCCGCATGGTACGGGGCACTACCCTCCAACCGGGCCTGAGATCAGATAGCTCCCGTCACCGTCTCGGGTTTGTGTGGGATCGAACCACTCCGGGATGGGCAAGCCCATCGTTCTGAGTTGTGCCTTTCCCTCACCTGCAGGGGGTAGCAAGAGGGTATGTGCTCCGCGTTGGCCGGACAGGGAAGGGGGAGGGGGGAGGGGAGGGGGGGCTCCTCCACGGGACGACCGCCTAGAGCAGCACCACCGACCATCCCGACCCCGTGGGGGTCGCGGCGGGCCAGCCAGACATGAGAGCGCCCCTCCCCCCCTCTCGCGGCGCGTCCCCTCCTTCCTCCCCGCACCCCGCCACCCGGCTCGCCGCCCCGTCGCCGTCGCGAGTCGGTCCGCCTAGCGCCTCAAGGATCTCGACGAGGCGCTGCTGTTGGTCGCGCCGAAGCGCGCCATCTTGCCTGCGCAGCACGTCCTTCAGGGTACCGCCGTCGCACAGCTCGGTCACGAGCCGTCCCTTCGGTAGGTCGCTGAGCTCGGTGGACACTTGCGGTGCGAGGCCTGCTGCAGCCGCCCGCCGCAGGAAGCTCACTTCCGCAGTCAGCTTTCTCACTGCACCAGCGCCAAGCCGCTTCAGCTGCGCGACCGCCCACTGGCGGCCATTCTCATCAACGCCGCGGTGGACGATCTTATCCTTCCCGGGTGCCCCGAGCGGCGCGCCGAGCGTCAGCATAACCGACTCCAACCAAGGTTCGTTGTGAAGAGTGGGCACCCCCCCCCCACCCAAGAGCCTAGGTAGGTGCGGATCGGCAAGGCGCAAGGATTCTCTCGAGGTTCTCGAGGTTGGATATCCTTTGGCCGCGTTGGGTAGCGAGGATTGGTGTGACGCGATCCACGCAGGCGTGGTTTCTGACGGCCGACCGTCAGTGCACGGAGTTGCCCCTTCTTTCTCCGACTGCCCCGGCTAGTTCACGAGTTTCGCGGGAGGGACCCCATGCGTCAAACCCGAGACCTAGCGCGGGTGGGTTGGGGGGGGGCTCGCTGCAAGGAAGGGCTGCGTAAGAAGCCGATCCCCGTAGTCCGCCCCGTTCCTCCCCATCGGGCCGCATGAGCGGCCGCGCCTCGCAGATTCGTTTTCGCGCCTGGGTCAGGCGCGCGGGGCATCCCCCGGGTCGCTCGACCAGCGATCCGAAGAGTGGCCGCTATGCGAAGGAAAGAGTGTGGCCCTCGGGGTACGCCTCCGTCCGGCCCCCTCCGAGAGGGGAAGGAATTGCGGGGTCCCCACGGGCGCCTCTCTTAGGTATGTTGTTAGCAGATCACGACACAGAGCTCACACAGGATCACAGCGGGAGGAAATATACCTACAACAGCGGGAGGAAAGCGGTGGGAGGAAAGCGGCGAGTCGCAATTCCAGAGGTCGTTGTGGCGACCGACCGAGTCTATGATCCCTGGCAAAATGGGGAGGAACGGGGCGAGCCCCCTCCAACCCACCCGCGCTAGGTCCTGGGTGACGTAGGGGAAACCCGGCGAGCCTCGGGAACTAGCCGGGGCAGTCGGAGAAGGGGCAACTCCGTGCACTGACGGTCGGCCGTCAGAAAACACGCCTCCGTGGCTCGGGTCCCACCAATCCTCGCTACCCAACGCGGCCAAAGGATATCCACCTCGAGAACCTCGAGAACCCTGGCAAAAGGTATTTTTATGCTCTATTGACTGGCGAAGGATTTGTTAGCAAAATGTTCGTCA